GTTTTTAACATGTTTACACACTAGGTTACTTTTAACATACGTCAAGATACCGACATCATGGGAACCAACATTTGAGAAAGCTACATAACCTGAGAGTTTGGGTGGCGTTTTATTTTTTGTGTTTGCAGTGTATGGTTCCTGCAGGCACAGTACATCAATGTTGTTGGCACCAGCGTACATCATTAGATCAAACAGCCTCCTTCGCACGCTTCTCACATTCCACGTGAGAAATTTAAGAGTGAGTTGGTCGTGGGTAATGGTGTTCATAAACCTGACGAAGAGAAGTGTTTATAAGATTCACAAGTTGTAGACTATTGCTTACAAATGCCAATTGTTCATCGTCATTAATGGCAAAGAGTTCTTTCACCTGTTTCAAGCTCAGCTGGCTGCCTGTATTTTTCCTATCATTTACAATCATTTCATGTTCGTCAGGAATCGTAGACACACAAGCGGTATTGTTTTTAATGAGTTCTTGAGTGAATTTGTTAAATACATCTAAGATACACGGGTTTTCATATGTTTCACTCGACACAACGGTACTTACAGCACTGGAGGAGGCGTCAAGACTTGCTCGAGACGTGTCAAAACTTACAGCACTGGAGAGGGGGTCAATACTTGCTGGAGACGGGTCAACACTTATAGCACTGGAAGGCATTTCACTAGAGACTCGGACGTTCGCTTCACTCCTCGGGCTGGCGAGATGATCGCTTGAACACTGACTCGGGTTGTCCATGGTGATCTTAGCATAAATGCTGTTGAGACCATTTTCAATCTTCGTGAGTGTTTCTTGGAGCTTATTGACGGTAATTTCTATTTTGTTCATGCGAGCTGGAAGTTCTAACACCTCCCTCTGCAGGCTGGCGTCAGGCTTCCCAGGTAGGCCAGGGAAGGTTGTCAGGCTGTTGGTGTCAGGAACGGTGGTGGGGTCATTCCGGGTGTGGGGGCGGGTAGGTGTAGTGGTGGGGCCACCCCGGGTGGGGGGGCTGACTGGGGTGGTGGAGGGTTGCCCCACTGCGCTGTACGGGGGAGGCCGCCTGTCACAGTCCTTGTGCCAGGCGGTCACGCCCTCCCGCAAGCACCTGGAACACTTGAGCTTGGTGGCTGAGGATGAGGTCTCATCGGTCCCAGGGGCGTGGTCTTTATTGGGGCAGTCTTTAGTGAGATGATTGTCTGCACAGAAGGCACAGGTGCCTGAAGATTGACAGTGTTTGGCTACGTGACCAAAGTGTTGACATTTAAAACACATGACAGCTGAGGACTCCCAGGGTGTTATGGGGCAGGCTGGCCGGTAGGGGCCTAGGAACGTGTGATGACTGGGGGGCGGTGTCTCATGTTTCCAGACGATGACAATCCTGTTGAGTGGCTTGCCTCCAGACTTGATGCGTCTTGCACTGTGCACACCTGGTAGTTCTTTCGCATGGGAGATGTCAAGGTCATGAGGGTAGGATGTGACAAGGTACTCTCTGTACCTCCTGGACCTCTCAGGAGAGTCTGCTTTACTGAATGTGATGCCACCCACTTGACCTTGGAGTAGGGCCGAGATGGTGACTTCATCGGACCTGGCTACATAGATGTAGGGCGAGGCGTGTCTAGGGATTATGAGGTCAATGGGGTCAGGAAAATAGCTAGGAAGGTCCCGTCTCATCCAGACGTACCTCTGGTCACTGGTAACTTGAGATGGAAATGCCAGCCTGGCATATTTATTACGGGGTGCTAGGGTGGGTCGTGGTGCCCCTCCCGTTGTGGGGGTGACATTGGTCGTCTTGACAGAATTATTACCTCCCCTTAACTTCTTCTCTTTACGTAAGGTCTTCCGGCTTTTGTGTACAGTAAAACCACCATCCGAGGCTGCTTCATCACTTGAGCTGGTGTCCTCATACCTGGCTATACTGGGATGGAGTGATTGGCCATGCTGTAAGTCATGCGGGGAGGTGGCCGAAGTGGACGCAACTGCGTCTGAAGCATTTTGGGAAGGGTCGCTGTGGGTGTCCCCAGAAGGCGGGAGGGAAGTGGCCATAGTTGCCAGAGTCACAACATGAAGTGACAAGACACGTCAGCTTCTACCACAGAGTAGCACTTCAGGCTATGGCCTGGACCCAGAACAACAGCGGCTACTAATCATAGTGCAGAGACAAGATGAATAGTTCAGACACTTACAAGCGAACGCAGGTGTATACGCGGTCAGCTGGCAACACTGCTGAGGGTAGTGTGGCTCCGACCAGAGTGACAGGTGTAGAGAGTGCCACTCTGAAACCTACTTTATCCACACACACACACACTTAATAGTCCTCTACACTGTATGTAACACTGCACTGGTACCACCAATCACTGAGGCATCTGTATAGTGGTGTGCAAGTGGTCCGTTCGTGCCACCGTGTCCAGGCTGTACAGGGGAATTACAGCTTTAGGGAACGGGGCAATAGGGGCTAAAGTTCCAGCGCCCGGGGTACCACCTCAGGCGTCTGCCCACCAGGCGTGAGGTAAGGGGAAGCGGCCATGTCCCCACTGCCCAAGGCGCCACTTCAAATACATAGGTATTGTTTGTCCATATCTGATCAGATTGCACTGCTCACCACTTTGAAATCTAGGTGAAAGCTTCCAGGAGCTAGATGGTATATATCACTGTAAGGTTGCGAAAGCCTTAAGGCCGTCTGTACCCCTTTAGCAGTAAATCCATGTGGAGGGGTAGGCCTACACGTCTGGCCCACACCAGGGTAGCGACGACACGCAAGAACAACTAGGTGAGTACACACATACTGCAACCTCGTAAACAGTGGCATGAGGTGAAAGAACATGTGCCCATACACGACCCACGCCCCTCTCTACCCCATGTCACCTTCTGCAGGAGCTCCTGTGTCTGTTAACACCCAACGTAAGCATGATAGAGCGAAATTAGAAGAAAGTAAGCACTCTCCTCCATGGACGTCTTCATTTTTGTGTTGACGAAGCCTCTTGTGGCCCCTAGTGTACCCTGTGTGTTTGGCTGCTGTGCCATAATGGCTTACTTTGCTGCTCGTGTTAATAGCAAGGAACACACGAGCTCCCGTGGTCACATTAGCACAGTGTTCCCCCACACCGGACCAACCGGGCTGTGGTGGATACGTGGACCTGCGGGCCGCTCCAAGCAACAGCCTAGTGGAGCAAGCTCTCACAAGTCAAGCTTGGCGTCGGGCCGAGCTTGGGAAGTAGAAGAACTCTCAGAACCAAATCAAGCAGGTACAGGCATTTCTCCCTAAGGCGTCCACTTCTTCCTGTTTTTCCGTCTTCCCCTTCCCTGTTGATGGATGCAAGTGTAGATGACTTCTGACTCTTCTGGCAGACTTAAAGCTCTATCATTCTGCAGCTCATCTTCAGCCCTACCCCGCCAATTTTCCTTGAAACACGGTCTGTCAATCAGTTTCTGATTAGTTTTCCAATTACTGCTGAGTGGAAAGAAGCCTTTAGGATCGGTGCCAATCGTCTTGACGAGCACAGGACTCGTACCAGGGTCGATATAGCAAGCGTGGCAATTAAGATGAAATATTGAGGCAAATAATAGGATCGAACTCTGATCGCTGGACTCTCCTTCACCTTGCACACACACAGCCTACTGAACCACGATGAGCTTAGAAAAACTATTCCTTTATTATCCAAGTGTGATCATTCTTCATTGATCATTCTCGGCCGTTGTCGAGAATACGTTTTGAGTTCTTTGGTGCCAGGCTCCAACGACTTTGACTGGACGGTAGAGCGACGGTCTCGCTTCATGCTGGCCGGCGTTCAATCCCCGACCGTCCAAGTGATTGGGTACTACTTTCTACTTTACACTACTTTCCCCCGTCTCGTCCCAGATCCTTGTCCTGATCCCTTCCAAGTGTTATAAAGTCGTAATTGCTTGGTGCTTTCCCCGCATAATTAAAAAAATAATGGTGCCAGGCGGAGATGATGAGCGGAAATATTTTAAGAGTGAGAGGATAGTTGGTGTGTGGCGGAAGGTAAACCAAGGGAAGGGAAGATGGCGTGTAGGAAGCGAGATACAAAATTACGAAGAAATGGATAGAGAAACGATGAAATAAAGAGAAAATCATCACGACCGTGTTTTTTAGTCTCATTTTTTATTTTGTTATCTCTGTGTTTGTCCTTCCTTTCTCTCTACTTCCATTATTCTCCTTTATTGTTACATTGTCAAGATATTTTTAATTGATAATTTCTCTCATCAACAACTATTTCTCTAGCCCTTACTTGTCATGTAACCACCCTTTCGTCAAAATATATTTCCGCCTAAAAAGTTTTACGTTAAAAGACACTCATATTGTTAAATTTAACCTGCACTATACTACGTACTAAAGTCAGTCTCAGCTGTAAGTATTTTATACTTTGTCGTGTTTGTCAGCACTATATAAAACATATATGTCACGTTGTCGCAATAGTTCCTTTCTGCTAAAATATTTTGATTCGCCGAGTTCTCGGAAAAATATATTAAAATGATCGTGTGTTCCTCAAAAACAGTCACTTTACAATATACTAACCGTATATCCGAGTCCAATCTCAAAACATCCTGGCCTCACCCTCCCTCACACACTCAACTTTACTGGGTGAGAAATATTTTGGCCCTTGTCATAAACCGGTGTAACTCGGCGCTGTTGGCCAGAGGCGACATGACAAGAGGTCACATAGAGGGGCGACATGACAAGAGGTCACATAGTGGGGCAACATGACAAGAGGTCACATAGAGGGGCGACATGACAAGAGGTCACATAGTGGGGCGACATGACAAGAGGTCACATAGAGGGGCGACATGACAAGAGGTCACATAGAGGGGCGACATGACAAGAGGTCACATAGTGGGGCGACATGACAAGAGGTCACATAGTGGGGCGACATGACAAGAGGTCACATAGTGGGGCGACATGACAAGAGGTCACATAGAGGGGCGACATGACAAGAGGTCACATATTTACATTGTTCGTTGTCACCGCTTACGTCGTCATACTTGGGGAAAAAATATTGTGCGGGTTCTGTTATTTTTCTCGCCAGATATGAACGCCGGTGATAGAACTTCCTCGGCCGCTATTACCATTTCCTATCAAGATACTTTCCGTCGGTGACTTGTGATATTTATCATTAGATTTTTGCGATTTTTGTCGACAGATAGTTTTGGCGTCCCTTGCCGCCTGATGGTTGGCGTCCCTTGCCGCCTGATGGTTGGCGTCCCTTGCCGCCTGATGGTTGGCGTCCCTTGCCGCCTGATGGTTGGCGACCCTTGCCGCCTGATGGTTGGCGACCCTTGCCGCCTGATGGTTGTCGTCCCTTGCCGCTGGATGGTTGGCGTCCCTTGTTGCCTGATGCTTGGCGACCCTTGCTGCCTGATGCTTGGCGTCCCTTGTTGCCTGATGGTTGTCGTCCCTTGCCGCTGGATGGTTGGCGTCCCTTGCGGCCTGATGCTTGGCGTCCCTTGCCGCCTGATGCTTGGCGTCCCTTGCGGCCTGATGCTTGGCGTCCCTTGTTGCCTGATGCTTGGCGTCCCTTGTTGCCTGATGCTTGGCGTCCCTTGTTGCCTGATGCTTGGCGTCCCTTGCCGCCTGATGCTTGGCGTCCCTTGCCGCCTGATGCTTGGCGTCCCTTGTTGCCTGATGCTTGGCGTCTCTTGCCGCCTGATGGTTGGCGTCCCTTGTTGCCTGATGCTTGGCGTCCCTTGCCGCCTGATGCTTGGCGACCCTTGTTGCCTGATGCTTGGCGTCCCTTGTTGCCTGATGCTTGGCGTCCCTTGTTGCCTGATGCTTGGCGTCCCTTGTTGCCTGATGCTTGGCGTCCCTTGCCGCCTGATGCTTGGCGTCCCTTGCCGCCTGATGCTTGGCGTCCCTTGTTGCCTGATGCTTGGCGTCCCTTGCCGCCTGATGCTTGGCGTCCCTTGCCGCCTGATGCTTGGCGTCCCTTGCCGCCTGATGCTTGGCGTCCCTTGTTGCCTGATGCTTGGCGTCCCTTGCCGCCTGATGCTTGGCGTCCCTTGCCGCCTGATGCTTGGCGTCCCTTGTTGCCTGATGCTTGGCGTCCCTTGTTGCCTGATGCTTGGCGTCCCTTGCCGCCTGATGCTTGGCGTCCCTTGCCGCCTGATGCTTGGCGTCCCTTGCCGCCTGATGCTTGGCGTCCCTTGCCGCCTGATGCTTGGCGTCCATTGCCGCCTGATGCTTGGCGTCCCTTGTTGCCTGATGCTTGGCGTCCCTTGCCGCCTGATGCTTGGCGTCCCTTGCCGCCTGATGCTTGGCGTCCCTTGCCGCCTGATGCTTGGCGTCCATTGCCGCCTGATGCTTGGCGTCCCTTGTTGCCTGATGCTTGGCGTCCCTTGTTGCCTGATGCTTGGCGTCCCTTGCCGCCTGATGCTTGGCGTCCCTTGTTGCCTGATGCTTGGCGTCCATTGCCGCCTGATGCTTGGCGTCCCTTGTTGCCTGATGCTTGGCGTCCCTTGCCGCCTGATGCTTGGCGTCCCTTGTTGCCTGATGCTTGGCGTCCCTTGCCGCCTGATGCTTGGCGTCCCTTGCCGCCTGATGCTTGGCGTCCCTTGTTGCCTGATGCTTGGCGTCCCTTGTTGCCTGATGCTTGGCGTCCCTTGCCGCCTGATGCTTGGCGTCCCTTGCCGCCTGATGCTTGGCGTCCCTTGTTGCCTGATGCTTGGCGTCCCTTGCCGCCTGATGCTTGGCGTCCCTTGCCGCCTGATGCTTGGCGTCCCTTGTTGCCTGATGCTTGGCGTCCCTTGCCGCCTGATGCTTGGCGTCCCTTGCCGCCTGATGCTTGGCGTCCCTTGTTGCCTGATGCTTGGCGTCCCTTGCCGCCTGATGCTTGGCGTCCCTTGCCGCCTGATGCTTGGCGTCCCTTGCCGCCTGATGCTTGGCGTCCCTTGCCGCCTGATGCTTGGCGTCCCTTGTTGCCTGATGCTTGGCGTCCCTTGCCGCCTGATGCTTGGCGTCCCTTGCCGCCTGATGCTTGGCGTCCCTTGTTGCCTGATGCTTGGCGTCCCTTGCCGCCTGATGCTTGGCGTCCCTTGCCGCCTGATGCTTGGCGTCCCTTGCCGCCTGATGCTTGGCGTCCCTTGTTGCCTGATGCTTGGCGTCCCTTGTTGCCTGATGCTTGGCGTCCAT